CATTTACGTTCATGATGACTTGTAGTTAACCTTTCTGTGAAAGTAAATGCTCATGTAACAGCCCCTGATATGAATCCATTGTCCAGATTTTTCTTTAGATGATCGTGTCTTCTAATGAAGTAACAAAATAGGGTCAACTAATAAAAATCTCACCTCAAAACACATACATTTTTATTATAAATAACAGCAAGTCAAATTTTCAATGCTGAATAATCTTGCAGAAAATAGATTAAAGCTGAATTCATTGTTGTTGAGAGTTGAGGAATGAGAAACTGCTTTTACTGGTAGATGTTTCTGTGGTTTGCAAAACCACTCTCATTACTTTGAAGGTGTTTTGTGAGCAGTGTGGGACCCACCTTCTTTCCCAGGCCTTTCCTTGAAGAATGGAGAAATCCAAATTGGAGCTGAGAGATTATGATACATACCTGAAGGGCCCTGGAGCTTTCTCATGGAGAATGAATCATTTAATAAAGGTGTCAGAACAAAGGGCTGACAGTCAGGTGTTCATTCTTTGGTTTTAATATATGGTCCTAGGAAAACATACCATAATAATATCATGAAAAATTTTCAGTAGTAGAGTGACTGTTTCCTTTGCTGTTTAAAAGCTATTACATTCTTTCTTTCCTTTCCTTTCTTTTTTTCTTTCTTTCGATTAGGGAATAGCTGATGTTTATAGTTGTCCAGGAATAAAAGATTATGAGAATCTGATTGTTGATCTAGTTTTTGTTTTATCTTATATATCTTTTGCCTGGTTAAATATCCGGCACCACTGTCTTTAATATTTATTAGTTTTTGTAAAAATGTTCCTTGTAAAAGAAAAATTCACATGCAATAACGTATAAGTATATAAAGGAAAAAGGAAGCATTTCCCACTCCTGGCCTTCTCTTTTCCTCCATGTCCCTCTATTGCAGAACAGCCCCATGAATTTTTAGTGTATCCTGGAATTTTCAATGTATAGATAAACATAAACTAAATAAAATAATAACATCCCCTTTTTAACTTAATAATTATCTTTCGTTTAGAGTTTCAGTTTTGCTAGATATTCCTTATTGAATTTTTCTTTGTTGAATGCAGTACATTTTATTGTAGTTTCCAAGATGGATATTCTAGTAAATGGTTTGTTTGATGAAGGTAGCTTCACATCCACTAACTTTGAGTTACCCTCTAAGGTAATGTGCATATTACTCCAGATTTTTCCTAGACAAAAGATGGTTATAAATATAGCACCAAAACAAATTCATTGTTTATATGTAAGTTTATGTTAAATGTATGACCTTAAAATAAACCACCGAGGCCAGTACCTCTGCAGATAGATCTTAAAACGTCTTTATGGTTCAGGTCAATGGTAAGTTATACTATGTGAGATGAACAGGTAAATATTACCTTTTCAGACCTGTAAGTCAGAAAAGACCTGTATTGATTTTATTTTTAAGCATTTGGTATTCAGTTTACTCAGCCTGTCAACCCAATATTTCCTTGTCTTTTAGTATTGCTTATGATACACAAGTTTTACTGCTTCCCTGTATGAAATCCAGATGCTATGAGGTTTAGCCTTGAGACTTGTAGTGAAACAGCGATGCCTGCGAGGTGTCTGCAGATTGCGAGAATTGCACTAAAGGAGCACCCTCCTCACAATAGGAGGAAAGCAGTTGCCTTAAGCTTGCCCCTTCTTCTCTTGACCCGGATGGCTTCTGCTCCATTGGACAGTAGAGGAAACTTAGGCTGTTGGCAATTCTAGGCCTCATTGTCACTAGTAATGGCTGCATAAACTAAAGCCATTTAACCACTTCAGTGGTTTTCTCCTCTATAAACTGGGGGTGGAAATAGTAATACCCTCTTAGGATTATTCTCATCTTTAAAGGAGCTAATCTTTAGAAGTGGGTATGTTCAGTGTCCTCAGTGCTCATTGATCAAGAGTTCTGGTGCAATGGGAAAGATTTTGGCTTTAACTGACAGTTACCATTAGGTATTGGTGGTGGGACTGCTTGGAAATGACAGTGAGATTTGTGAAAATGGCATAAAGAAAGGGGAGTGGCAGTTAGTCTTGGGGTCTTGATGCCAGGCTGAGTATTAGAACCAGAGACACAGGTCTGTAGTAATTCTGAAGCCCACTGGAAATGTCTGTAAACCTGCAGTGCTTTCAGAAACAGTGCTGTGAAGCATCCCTTCCTGAAGAGTTAGTTAAGTTTTCAAACTTGCTGACCCTTGACTGCGCTGTGGCTGCGGCACAGAGATAGTCCTGTTACTAGCTCAGCCTTGTCCATGGTTTCTGATGACGCATCACAGTGTTGCTGCTGCTGATGAAGGGACAACACTTTGGTAAATTTACATCCTAAAACTGTGTTCCTCCAAAAGTAAATAAAACTGGTGGGTAAATGTAATTAAAAATGTAATTAAAATGAAATGTCTGAATATCATTTGCTATTTATTATAAGGCATGTAAAGAAAGATATCTCCCTTTATCTAGCTTAACAAAAGACAAATAAGCTTGTAAATAGTGGTTAAGTGTACATTATAGATGATGAGAAGTAAACAAAATGTATTGTTTACTTTGGGCGCTTAAAGTTTTAATAACTTTATTTATGTCATCATCATGTCTGTATTTCCAGATTTACTGAGATATAATCGACAAGTAAAATTGTAAGACAGAGTACATTGTGATATGTGATGTAATATATACATGGTGAAAAATTTCTCATTTGTGACTTCGCCTCTATCATGTCCCATATTTTGTGTGTGTGTATGTGTGAAAGCATTTACTCTCTACTCTCAGCAAATTTCATTGATCCAATAGTGTTTTCAACCCTAGTCACTATGTTATACTTTAGTTTCTCAGACCTTATTCATCTTCTAGCTGAAAGTGGGTACCGTTTCACCAGTCTCTCCCTATACTCCACACCCACCCCTTCTCCTTAAAAGAAAAATGAACTCATCCAGCAAACAATTATTAAATCTCCACACTAGACAGTTTCCTAAGTTCTATGAGAGAATTAAGGCAGGTCCTCGTTCTCTTGTCAGGGACCTTAGAGACTAGTCCAAGAATCCTATTGAAACATGCTCTAGTAGGAGGGTGTATGCATGTGAATCAACCAAGGATCTTGTTAAAATGTAGACTGACTCAGTAGATCTGAGGTGGAGATGCAAATGAGTGGCAAGGATTTAAAAGAGAATCAACAACTGACTTTATATTCTGTGGGTGAGAGAGGGGCCATTTCATTCATAAAGCTGGGCCTTAGCAGAGGAATAATGTGGCCTGGAGAAATAGAAATAAATTTGTGTGTGTGTGTGTATGAATTTGTAGAGGAATATAGGTATGGAAAACTATAGGAGGGAGGTTGGTAATTGCCTTCAAAATGAAATATTAAGATGATTAAAAATAACACCCTGTAGATAATGAGGACTTATATTTTAGGTTGGGTCATGACCTTAGTTTTCATGTTCAGGATCTACATGGAGTCGGAAATGATGGAGGGAGAAGACTTTAGCAGTCTGATACACTTATTTAGACACAATATAAGGGGTAAATAAGAATTTGTAGCATTTGAAAAAGAAGATCTCTGGAGAAAAAAAATGTGTCTAGTGAATTGGAATAGTGCATCTGGTGTTAGAAAACTCAATTGATTGGAGCAAAGTACAAATTGATGAAAAAAAGAATAATACACAGGGTAATGCTGGAGATAGAACTTTAATGTTGGGGACCTTAAATGTCAGACCCAAAGAGCTTAAACTCCTTTTATTCTGGTTAAGATGAGATTTTTTAAGTGAAATCTCTGGGACAAAGAAAGGATGTCCTGAACAAACTTCACAAATAGGTTTTATAGATCCCCACCCTAGACCAAAGAGGTCCAGGACACCAAGGACTACAAATCCCATAATGTCATCACCACCGAAGGGGAGGATTGCTGAGAACTGAGGGGGTATATAACCAGACACGTGGGCCTTGGGAGTCCTTGTTTTTCTGTTGGCTTTCAGCATGCTATTGGGGTTCCACCTCAGTGGAACTGGTAGGACGCTTTCACCAATTTATCTCTTGTTCTTTCTCTCTGAGTTATTCCTTTCTTCATTTCCCCTTTTAGTAAATAAGCCCTTTATTATCCTTTTTGTGTGTGCCTGAAGTTGAGTCTCATTATAAATTCCAACAAAGAATTTATCAACAAAGAATGTAAACAATAGGGATTCAAAACCTTAGTGGCATTTGGATTCAGAAGGAGGATAGGGCTGTAGGTGAGAATTTGGGATTCATCCATATAAGAGCATTGGTTAAAGCAAAGTAGACTCTGCAAGAAAGGTGGCTATGAAGGAATTTGTGAGTAAAGGATTGAATTTGAGAAATGCCCATATTTGGGTATAGGTGTGGGTATCAGTATTGTGTGGTTTCAAAGATGCCTGAGAATTCGACAAGTGGAAATATTTACTGCAAGAAAGTGAAGTTTTAAGTGAAGACCATAGACTTGGCAAGCCGGAGCAAGTTGAAAACAATGCTAATAACATAGCTCCACCTGGTGTTAGGCAGTAGGCATTTTTTAAATGAAGTTTTTCTCATCAATTTGAATTTTTTCCCTCCTGTTTTAGTTGTTCATAAATTTTCACTATTTTATGTGGTAGCCTAAGGTGCAAATGAACTACTTTACTTTCAACAGTATGGGAGGAGGTCACAACAGTTTGTTTATTCTTTGATTTCAACTTTGCCAAAAGCTTCTATTCTACTAGCTCTCCTGAACTGTCTCTGTGTTAGAGAAGATATGAGTTAATTACTTCAGGTTATAGGATTAGAGCCCCTCTTCTATAGCTTGATTGCTTCACCATCATCTCTGCGCTTATGCCTGTAAATTATCAAAAATAAAAACGATTCATATGAAGATTTTATGTTCCATCTGAAGTTACATAATTGCGAATATTCATTTTGTATTTTGACATGGTTGTTGGTGCAGGAATTTGTTTATAACCCTAAAGCTTTTGAAATGAATAGCAGAGGAAATTTCTTTTTTTAAATCCCAAGGAAAACCCTCATCCTCGAAAACGGCACAGCCATCTTGGGTGAATTTGCCTAGACCACTTCCTAAGTCCAAAGCGGCTTTGAAAAGTTCTGCTCTGCGGAGGGCTGGAAGCACCACCTCCCTCACCAGCACCCACAGCGATTTGAGTATTTACAGCAATAATTGTAAGTCGGTCTCACATCAGACTTTGGGGTTTGTTGAAACCTTAGTTATAAGAAGAAACTACTGCTCTACAAATACATCAGAATTTTTGAATCAGAGATATAAGGGATTATAAGAATATATATGGAATTGTTCCGAAAGTTGGGCAGGAAAAAATACTATTTCTTTTTTTTATATTAATTTTTAAAATTTTTTTTACATCATTGTTCATTTTTAAACAATATTTGCTTCCACCCCCCTCAGGTGTAGTCCCCAGGGAAAAACACGATTTCAATAACATTCTTATTTGAGGAGTGTACTCTGAAACACCGGAAAAGGTCTATGTTAAAGGTGCCTGGTATCCTTTTCCATGAACGTTTCTGAAGTGCTTTACTTGAAGCACATTTGGTTGGTGTTTTTTGGTTAGTTTAAGGACAGAATTGCAAGTGAGGGGCTACTGGAACCCATCTGCAAATCAGGGGGAAAAAAACAATTCTATGTACTTTGTAAAAGACTAATTTGTAGATGGGTATTTTGTAATTCTATACTTTGAATGCTAAATTTGGTGTAATATGACTATTAAGCCTAATTCAAAGTAATTTAAACTCGGAAAATTTTTTTTTAAAGATTTATTTATGCATACAAAAACTGGGGTATAGGCCAGAGGTATAGGGGATGGGAGGATTCACTAGAGACAGAGTCTGTCTACAGAACAGGCAGATTGACTGAAATACACTGCTGAGGGGAACAGCAGGAGAGTCAGGAGGGGTCTGCTGCACCATGTAGGTTGCTCCCAGGCCGGCCGGGGGATCGAACTTGTACTGCAGTGGCTGTGGACAGCTTCATAGGTTGTGTCTTAACCCCTTGCGCCACCAGGGAGGCCCAAAACTCAAAAATTTTTTTTAAAGCTTTCAGTTAATAGGAATTTTGTTGACTGTATATAAAATGGGTGAAATTAACTGAGTCTTCCTTTTCCTTTGCTAGATGTAGTTGGTCTTAGTATGTGTTTGCTCATTTCCTTTCTAAATTTCCTCACAAACCAGTGAATTAATTTGAACCACCTTGGTGCACCTGCTGTGTACAGGCATCCCCATGGGTGTGTGAGGGACACAGGATGCAAAAGAAATGGTCCTTACTAGAAGGTAGTTGAGGAGAAAGAAGCTATTAATGTGGATAACTGGAATGCCAGATAAAACAAGCTGAAAAAAGTGTGGGAGGAGGGATTTCTTTCTCTCTGGTAAAGAATCAAGGAGCCTTCTGGGTGTGGAGCTCTGTTGGAGGTACCATACTTTCCCCCTTCCCAGCCCTCAAGTTACATCTGCTGTTATTCTGACTTTATGTATGAGGTAACTGAGGCTCAGAGAGGTTGTCACTGAGTCCTTGGGCACTCAGCCAGCATGTGACAGAATTGAGAATGTGCTTGTGGAGGCATTGAATGAATGACTGAATTAATGAGTACATTTTTGCGAGGTCATTTAGCTGTAGCTGGTCTCATGGTAGTAAGTAGTTAAAGAGCAGAACTTTAGGGGTACTGGACTATGTTTAAAATTAACAGGGTTTTCTCTACTGTTTGAAATGTGAGTTGTGGCGTGAGCTCAGAAGGGCTTGCATGTAACAGACAATTCTCTGACAATTTGAATAGGTGATTCACACATGCATTACTTTATGGTCATATCACTCTCTACTTCCTGTTTATAAGGTGACTTTTAAAAACAAACTGCCAAACAGATTCTCTCATGTGCTCTGGGAGGACTGTGTAGTAAAGGGATTTGTGACACTAGGAGCTGACACCTTCTGTAGTGCTGCTTAGCTAGCATTTTCCATTGACAGCCATGTTGACTTGGCCACGGTTTCAGTAGTGTCTGACACTCCTAAGGAGGTTGTAAAATGCTTTTGTCCGTTCCTTTTTGTCTTTCAACAAAGGGGTTTACCGTATACCCACAGAGCCTGTCTAGTGGTGATGTGTCCCTGTTGCTGATTAAGCATTCAAATCAGTGAGTCTCTTTCTTAGTTTGATTTGCTAGCTGGGTTAATCTGTTTTGTGTAGTGCCTTGGAGCTTACAGATTTTTTTTCCTCCATTCTCATTCACTAAGAGCAAGCATGAGGGATGTGAGAATGAACATGGCTGCAGTTTTTCCTGCTTAAGCTTGCTTTGATCCTTTTAAATGACTGTACCAGGAGGATTTCGCAGTTGTACAGAAACGGATATTTCTTCAAAAATATTTATCAATTCTACACTCACCCCACCGAGTGGTTCAGAGAGACACTACGATGCTACTTTGTTGACATTGCTGGTCCTGGGATCCTACAGCCTTTGTATAATTCCTTTGTTAGCCACGTTTACTGGGAAAAGAAGTAGGTTGACGATTTCTGGTTTGATTCTTTTCTTTGTAAGCATGCCTAAATTTACTCAATAAATTGATTTGGCATCTCTTGATTGCTATATTTGTAACTTGCAATTTGTTAATTGTATTCTGGGGCATATTTGTATTTAAGTTGTGAATGATTCTATGTAGAATCAAGTTTATTTTTCTGTGTGTTTGGGAACTCTTGCTAAATATAATTCAATAGCATTGTGATGTTCTTGACATGAAATTATTAAGAAAGATTATTTGATCATATTTTTGATTAAATAACTAGTAGTTTTTGTAAATGTAGCTTATAATTGTAAGAGTATAGAAAAATACTAGAATTATAATTAAAGAAGCACTTTTTATTATCTTGCTCATTAAATTGCATTATATCCCAAAATTATTAAAGATGTGTGCTTTCACAAGATTACCTTAAAACATGAAAAATCATTGTAAGATGACATTTTACCATTTCTGATAATGATGGTTTATGGTAGGAAATAATCTTTCAGTCAGTATTTTAGTTCACATTGGGTGAAACATTTGAACCCTTTTAAAGAATATTTTCTTGATTTGTCTGCTCATTTCTTTGTGATGTAATACTGTTACTGGCATCATTTAAGAACTTGTGAAATCACATACTGCTGTTGTAAAATTGGCTTCTGATTTTTTGATGCTTCAGGATCCTATAGAAATAACAATACCAATTTTTACAATGACTGGATCGTGTACAAGACAATAAATCTCTAGAAGGTTCTTGTTGTGTCTTCTTTTATGCATAGTAAATTAAAGTTATGATATTGATTTTCTTTTGCAAATTAGCATGAAATACTGCATAGTAGTTTCTATATCAAATGTGCTCATTTATAGAGGCTAGAGCTTATGAGTTCTTCCAGATTCAGCTAAAGTCCAGTATTGAAGATTGGATAAAAATAAATTACATTTTTTGGTTTCAAATAGAGTTGAAGGTTTAAGGACCATTGTGCAAGTAAGTATATAGGAAGTCTTGACAGAGCGTATAATTTTGGCATGTAAGCAAAAAGGAAGTCCCGGGGCTTCCTTCTCCTTCCAATTTGGCCATGAAAACATGTTTATTTTTGAGAGACAGATGGTGAGGGGAAATATAAGAGATGCACACCAAAGCTATTTGCACTCTCTTGGAAATAGGAGAACAGCAGGAGTCTAACTAAAGAAATGGAGCTTTCGTTCCCTTCACCTTAGTGTTGAGCCTTGGCTGACATGGCATGATAGAAAAGGACATTCAACTTGGATTCAGCCAGTTTTCCACTAACTCATGAGAAGTTGGACAGCCTTTTGCTGTCTTAGCCTGAGAATTCTCACCTGATGTATGGGAGGGGCATACTAGATATTTTCAGAATCCTTGCAGCAAAAAAATGTTCTCTGATCACTTGTAGTGAAAAAAATAAAACAAGGTGGTGTTTTGAGTTGTTTAAGTGATTATGTTGATGGAAAGATTAGTCTTATTTAATCTTATGAAGAGTTAGTTCTCTTTATTGTAAGATGACAAGTAGGTACTGTCTCACCTGCCAACACTAGTCACTTGGTAAGAATCACCTGGAATAGTGTTGAAAGATTTTTCAGGAAGATTTCAGCTTCACAGCATCCTGTGTTTGACTGGTGATGTATACAGTGGGCAGGGATGGGGGGAGGCAGGAAAAGTAATATACATACCCCGACCCTATATTATAAAATGTGCTTAGTACTTACACACATCTGAGTGGCCTCCTTAGTTAAAAAAAAATGCAGATTGCTATTTTATTCTTTGAGTGTTTTCCTAGGGTATATAGGAGATATTCTTGTTATTACAAAGTTAAGCAATTTTGTTTTTGGAATTTGAAAGCTTAGACTTCCATAGTGATTTGATTTCAGGCCAGGTAGGCAGATGATCTGGCACAGTAGGGAGTGCTGAGTAAATCCACCCAAATTCAAGAAATGAACAGAATGTTGGCTCTGTGTACATACGTAATTTAATAAGCAGAACAAAACTAATGTTAACTAGATGGCGAGGATGCTGTGTGAAAAGCATCCATTTAGTTTGCAAATAAAATTCTGGAACAATGAGAAGTTCTCTCACAGGAAAACCTTTGCTTGGTCTTCTCTGAAAATAGCTCTTCATTTTCTCTTTAGACTCTAGCACATAGTTCTCTGTCTTCCTCTCTCCCTCGTTCTTCCTCTCTCCCTTCCCTCTCCCTTTTACTTGAACCAGATTTTGACCATAGGGAAATGAAAATAGGATTTCAGAGAATTATTCTGGCATAATTGAAATGATAACAAAATAAGGACAATTTAAAAACTGTATATTAGAGATGGCTGATAACTTGGCAACTACATGTGGCATTTCATATATTGGGCCTACAGACCAGCCATCACTGAGTGGTCCTGGCCCCAGATAACACTGTGTGCAGGAGAGTTCTGAAGATGCCTCAGTGGGGCTGAGCACAGTCCTCTTTACAACGGGCCCTTCGGCAGCCTCTGTTCCCATAGCTGACATTCATATCCACTTGTCATACACACAGGGACAAGTAAAGTTTTAGCACAGCCAAGTCTGCACCAGAACTCTGTTATCATTGATTCCATTCTATTACTGAAAACTGTGATCTTTCTTTTATTATATGGGAACTTTTGCCACTGAAGAGTTTGGTTAAAATATCTCTGGGTGAGGGAAAATCTAGTTATCAGGGTAGGTTACCTGACCTGCTTTCATCTTAGGAACTGAAATAGAGGGCAGGAGAAATACTTAGAGAGCCTCATGCTTCACAGTGACATATATCCTTCAAGTTGGGGCTTCCTAGAAAGCAGTAGATCAGCTTAGAGTAGGTTTAGAAAATCAAGAAAATGACGTACAAGTGGTGAGGTTTTCCCCACCATTAGTAAAGTGAAGAAGCAAGTGAAGGTGGGAAATATGTGCAATAGATAATCATAGCACATAAAAATATAGTCATGTAATTAATCATGTATAAATGAAAATGTGTGTGTGTGTAGCTGGGTTGGTTGGACTCAGAAATATTACCCCCAAATATGGATTCTGACCTTTACATGTTACAGAGTTGATCTGGGACTGGATCAGTGTTCTGTTGAGCCTGAAGACAGGCCACGAGACAGTTTGTTTCCAGGACAACAACATCTGTGTGTGACAGAGCCAAGGGACTGGAGTATTGTGCCTCATGAGAAATGTGTCTTGCTTTAGTGGGAGGTCTTTTTACTGAGTTCTTTGGTAACTGAAGGTCTTTGTGTTTATAACTTAGAAATGAAAAAGCACGAATTTGGGATCATGGAATTTTTTATTCGGTCTATAATTTTTCAAAATCTGAATAGATGGCTTATTTGTTTTGAATGTAATTTTTAAATGTTTTCAGAATAAGATCGAAGTGCAGAGTACTATTATATAGGGCTAAGACTCTAATAACAACATTTACTTCCTTTCTTGGATTTTTACTTAGTAAAAACTGAAAGGCTAAGTAAAATTCAATACCCATTTTATATGAGCATCTAAAAGTATACCCCATGAAATTTTGCTTCTCTTACTTCCAGGCTGTGAAGTAATCCCCCCATCCATCTTTTAAAAGATTATGTTGAGGTTTTCAGTAATGGTGTCTCCAGTGTTGTCATTTCTATTAGCTCTCTGTCAATGCTGAGAAAATCCAGTTTTCTAGATTCTGGAGAAGGAGACAATTGGAAAGAAGGGTAGGAAATTGTCAGAAACTTGTCAGTAGGAGGGGAGGCTCTGTTGATTTGACCTAATACTGAAAATGTCCTCTGGGCACAGGAAGAAGTAACAGATGGCTCCATCTAGAGAAACTTGATGTCCATCAAGAGTGTGTTTTCAGGGTCTGAATGTTACATCTACAGGCACTGTTGTAGGAATTGGGATGGTTTAACCAAATGGAAAATTTCTAGCTGTCTTCAAATCTACTATGTACTTGCTAATAAGGTAGCCATTTCACACTTTTCTGAAATGAGAGTTGATGTAGGTTGGTAATGTTGGGGAGGAAAGTTTCCTCCTAGCCTTCAAAGTGCTTTTGCCTGGTCTAGTAATTACGTTGGTATAAGAGCAGTTGACAGGAAAAAGACAAATTTAAGTGTGTCTATGGGGACTCCGCAAATTAAAAAGGCTCCCTGAGAGTCATGCAATTGTATTTATAGGCCATTCTGAACTAGGAAGAAGGGGCGGTGGCTGGGACTTCAAAGGAGTGGGGAAGACAATTTACAGAAAGTTGGGACACACAAATGTTTGGTAAACAAATGTTTTTCATGCTACATGGAGAGAAAAGGGCTATGAGAAGAAGTTGAACCAACAAGACTGGCTAATTCCCTCCAGCCTGTCATACCTAGTTACATTTTTGTAGTAATCTCTGATGATACCTCCCTTCTTGAAACAACCCCCTCCTGTTTTAAGTTCTTTTAGGCAATTAGGAGAAGGTAAAGAAGTACTTCTGTCTGCTGTTTCTTAAAAATAGTCAATTCAAAATAATCCTGATATCAAAAGACGTATTTTGGGGTAGCAAATTTTATTTCCCCCCAAGCAATAAAGAAATTTATGATTATGAGTGTAGATTAGAATAGAGCTGGGTGCTTAGAATTGGGTGTCAAATATTGTTTAAGAAACAAACAATAAGGCCAGTCTGTGCTGGGGGAAGGGTTGGGAGCCAGTCAGTGAATGAAGCTCTAGCTTTCCCTCTGGCCCAGTTGGGTATATGGTAACACAAACATGCCAGTGCTTTGTATGGCTAGCGAGAGGAGATCGACAAAAAGGGTTACCTTTCATGGCAAGGGAGAACCAGAAAACATTTTCCAAGTATTTTTGTTTGGATTTTTTTCTCCATGGATATAGAGAGAAAAGGACAAAGTGCTATGTTTACACTCCTGAGTGTTGTGAAACATGATAATCTTTGGTAGAACAAAACAGTTATTGTGCAAAAATGAAAAATGATGTAAAAAATATATAAAATAAAAAAAACTAAAATTCCTTGTAGAACCTAAGCTTCTGGACAGTGTACTTTTTCAATGATGATTCTGTTATGGAGAACTAAAAGGAAATATGTGGATATAGAATCATTTTTTAAGGACATTCTAATTTTTTTCCTTAATAAATTGCTGCTACTTTAAAAAATAGCACTTAATAAAATTTGAAACTTTGAAAAATGTTTTTATCTTTAAATGTCAGTATAGTTTTCAAATCTTTCCTCTAGTGTTCTTGCCATTTAGAAGATTTTAAAAGGTAGATTCCGCTATGCCAAACAGTGCCATAAATGATGATAATGGTGATGATTCCTGAAGTAGCCACAAAGTCCACTTTGCCACACCATAGCTGAAGGACACTCATAAGACCTCGTGGTAGATCAAGTACATCCTCAGCAAAAGTACAATGTGAAAATGTGTTCTCATTTGGAATTCAGAGAGCTGGCAATGAACTCTGCTCTCTTTCCCCTCTACCCTTTTCCTGCCTAAGTACAAGTAAAAATTGTATGTATACTATAAAGGTTCTGGTTCCTTTTTATTCCAGTGGGCAGCCATCACTGGGAAGAGGAAGTTCAGGAAGAAGCTATATAAAAGTGGTCAGATACAGTTGTCTTATGCAACTGAAAGATACTTTGTTTTTTGATGCCAAGGACTTTAGTCATTTTTGGGCAAACACTAAAAATAAGAATAAGCAAGATAACTACTCAAGTCTTTGCCATAATTGTTTCTCTATGGTTTCAGATTTTGGTTCTGCTAGAAGATTAGCAAGTTATAAATTATCGCTATTATTTTGTAAAGCTCTTTGTTTATTCTGAAGTGTCTTTGTCATATGATATGCTAGGATTGTCTTTCCAATCCCAGTGAAGAAAGAGAAATAAAGTCGGAGACTGTAGCAAAAGCAGAAGATGCCCTTTCTAGCACTCATTGACATAGTATACCTAAAGTATTATATTTGGTCATTTAATTCTTCCCTCTCACTATTACCCTGGCATTTTCCCCTGGGAAATGCTGTAAGTTGTCTTCTGTGGGAGTCCCTTTGCCTAGTTAATTCTACTAAACTCAGAATTAGGTTACAGTCCAAGCAAATTTGGTTAGTATCAAAATTCCCGCAATCAATCTTTCTTAAGCAGTTCTTTAAATACCTAGGACTATTTTTTGGGGAGGGATCTGGAGAGATTTGCCTGCTTATTAAAAATAAAGATTTACATAATAATCTATGTAAACATTTTTCTTAAGTGGGATTCATTTCCATATTTTAGCTTTAGGACTGAAGCACCTTTATTCCAAGGCAGATGATACAGGTCTAACGCTATAGCAGAGGAGGATTAGATCCAGATCTCATCTTTGTGGCTATTTTTTTTAAATTTTTATATTCCCCATACAATTGCAACCCTGATTTTGACCCCAATCCCCCCCCCCCAACAAAGAGTGTCTCTGGTTCATAGTTGTTTGTTGATTTTGATTTTTTTCTTTCTTACAGTTATTCTTTTTCTTGGTCCATATTTAGGTTTTCTAGATTCTTGTTATGAGTGAGACCATCTGGTATTTTTCTTTTTCTTTCTGACTTATTTTGCAACTGGCTGCCCTGGACTCTGACTTATCCTCGTGGAGACAGAAATGCCTCATAGTTGCCCTTGGGTATATTTGTCACATAGCGTGCAAGACCATATAATTTATGGCTCAACTTTTATCTGGGATAAAATCTGTCCTCAGATGTATGGTCATTCTGGTTAGAGTGTTTACATTGTATCCTTGAGGACGGGAACTACCTACTATCCATCTTTGTATTTGCAGCACACAGTAATGCCTGGGCCAATGTAGATGCTTAGTGAGACTTGATGATTCAAGAAGGAAGAGTAAGTTGTGGAAAATGCTACTTATTGATCTGTGAAGTAAAACGTGCTTTTCTGTTTTATTACAGCTGGCAATGCCGCTGTCATCAAGTATGAGGAAAAACCCCCAAAACCAGCATTTCAAAATGGTTCTTCAGGATCCTTGTATTTGAAACCTTTGGTACACAGAGCTCAAGCACACTTACTCAAGACTCCCCCAAAAGGTATGGTCCTCATTGTAGATAGAAAAGAGGAGACAGGTCCTTGGCCGTAGGAAATTAAAATTGGACAGTTAGGATTATGACATATTTAACAATTATATTTAAAACATATGTTGAATAAAGACATATAATACACTCTTACACCAAGAGAGTCATTCTTGTTCTGAGTCAGGAGGTGTTTCAGTTATGACCTACTACAGATAAATCGGCGGATAGAACAAGTCACGTTAGAGTTATGTTACTCTAAGGCAGTGATCTAAAGCAATGAGCTAGAAATGTTTAGTTTATTTCCTACCTTGGTCCAAGCTATGTTCTTTCTTCTATTATTTATCTCTTCATCTTTGTGGTAACCCAGTTTGTAATTGCTGTGGTTAGGAAGAATAACTTTCAGGTTTACAGAAAGTGTATGGTGTATGTTGGTCATGAAATCTTTACACTGCTGTATCACAATGGATCTGAAGCACCTTAAACGTTGCCTTTAGGCTAGTGAAAAGAATTAGGTTAGTGAATTGCTCAAGTGAAAAATAATTCCGAATGACCCATATTTATAACAGAATCTGAGACACACAGAAACAGTCTTCCTTCATCCCATTTAACCACTAATGACTGTTCCATTTCCTCTATTTTTTCCTTCTCCACAGATGATGGTTTTGTTTTTCTTTCAAGAAAACTTGGTGTATAGTATATACAATGTGTTTATTAATGATGAAGTCATCCTCTTTTTTTAAAATGGCTGTGCAGTCGTCCACTACTTTCCAATGCCCTGGTCCCTCCCTAGGCACTTTCTGACTTTTACATTATACATTATACATTATCCTCAGATGAATATCTCTGAATGTGAACTTTGTTCATTACCTCAGATTCTAATTCCATGGATATCCCTGAAAGAGGAATCACTGGTTTTAAATGTATGAATCTTCTTTAAAATTGCTAATATGTCACTAAATAACTTTCCAGAAAGAGGTCAGTCTCTCCCAGCAGTGACAGCGTCTCTGTTGCACTGTAGCCACCTCAGAGTGTGTTTGTGAGTATGAGATTATTCTGGTAATCTGAGGTTGTTTGCCTAGTGAGTGTTTATCAACACTTTTTCCTTTCCACTGAATTAGAGAAAATTGTGATAAATATTGGCACACAGATTTTTCATTGTGCCAGTGGCTTCGCATCTGTCCAAGGTCTTCAGTTACTGAAAGATCAAATATTCTCTTGCTGGGATGACATCAGTGTGTGAATCTCTGCTTTTTGTTGATGATGATAAACCCCATAATGCATATACACACCATTAACTGAAAAGAAACTGTCAGACTTTGATACTAAAATAACTTCTGGAGAATTAGAACTTCATGATTTCACTGATAACTTTAGAGCAGGAAACTGCAGTGTTCTAAAACCACTCGCTACTGACTTTGTGAGCTTTTGTATCACAAAAGTTTTACTTGAGTGGGAATCCAGGCTTTCCACTTAGAACAGCCACATATTTTAGGAGGTGATCTACCAAATTCCACAGAGAGTGCGGCAGCTGTTACAACTAGTAATTTGCAGATGATTGTGCCCTAGAAATGACTAGCTCATGTCAAGTAGAAACAATTGTAGTTTTCTTCTGGTGAATTAACTTTGTAGCTCTATACCTGTTACTTTCCTGGTTTGACAAAATTGTACTATCTTTGATGATTTGGTATCTATGTATCTGTGAGTGAATTCTTCCTAGTTGTATTTTAAATAGTACAGTTTGGAGAAAAAGCTTTATTATATTTTCCTTCATAGCTGAACAGCAAGTGAACTAGATTTAACTCTTGGCAGTTTGAGAAATCACACACGGGACTGTCTTTCATCAAGTCAACACTGGGGTAGTATTATGTGTGCATTCAGTATTACTAAAATTTTAATTTCAGCAGTTCTTGTCTGAAAATCTATTGTAGTTTGTTCTGTTAAATTGATATTTAATTTGTGAAGATGAATTTACCTCACTCTTAAGCTATCATTTTAATGTTTTTGGAATACAATTTTATTAAAATATACTTAATAAAGGTATTGTATCTCAGTATTTCTCATCCCAAACCTAAGATTTAGAAGTTAAAAGATTGGTTTTGGAAATGAAACAGTTCTTTTTAAATGACTTATTTTTGTGTGTTATTTCAAATAAAGCATACATATCTTTTACAAATACTTCTTTTATGTTTTAGGTCCTTCAAGAAAAAATCTATTTACAGCTTTAAATTCAGGTAAGCGATTGACCATATTAAATATGGATGGAAAAAATTATTTTTTGTGTCTTTTCACTAGTATGCCTGTATATATTCTGAATACTACTGTATTGTACTATTATAATTCTGAATACTATTATATTATTATTCTAGTGTATTATAAAGTATATGATTTGCAAATATATTTCCCATTCTGTGATTTATCTTTTTACTTTCTTGAGAGTGCCCTTTGAAATACATACATTTTTAACTTTGATGAAGTTCACTTTTTTATTGTTTATGATTTTGTCATTTTATATAAAAAATTGCTTGATAAAAGGTCATAAAGAATGATGCCTGTGTTTTCTTTGAAGAATTTTATACTTTCTTTAAAAAAAAAAGAAACTTATACTTTCTTGATCCATTTTGAGTTAGTTTTTGTGTGTGATGTAGGAGGTCAAGCTTCATATTTTGCATGTTAGATTTCCAGTTGTCTCAGCACCAGTCATTGAAAACACTGTTCCTGCCCTCAATGCAATATCATGGTAACTTTATTAACCATAGTTTACCTGTGGTTAACCTTTATTAACCATAAGTTTTATTTCTGGACTTTCAAGTCAATTCCATGTATCTGCATATCTACTTTGCCAATACTACAACATCTTGATTACTGTGTTGTAAGTTTTGATCCCTTTAACATCTTTTTCATGACAGTTTTGGCTATTTTAGGTGACAAAAGAGGTTTCAGGTCAGTTTGCCAATTTCTAAAAAAAAAGTCAGCTGGGATTTTGATAGAGACTGCTCAGAACCTATATATGAAATGTAGAGTATTGCCATCTTTACAGTACACTCTGATCCATGAATGTGAGATATCTTTCCTTTTAGTTATGTTGTCTTTCATTTTTTTGAATGATATTTTGTAGTTTTTAAAAATATAAATTTTGCAGTTCTCTTGGCAAGTACTGGTTTGTGTTTTTTCTATGTTTTGCTGGCTGCCATTCCTAATGGTCATGGGAAAAGGGCTGACTAAATGAATCTAATATAACTGTTTTAATCTTAGAGATTGTTGTGGCAGGAAATTTGTTGCTGTTTTGTGGTAGGAACTCGATGAGGCAACAGCAAGCCTTGTGGACGCTTTCTCTCCTTCAGTGTAATATAGGTTTTGGTCACTTATGTGTAACTAATATTACTGCCAACAATCTTATCTCCCTACTCCTAGGCCCTCCAACAACATAATTTTTTTTTAAAGATTTATTTATTTATACAAGCACTGGGTACAGTCAGCAATGTGGGAGAATTCACCAGAGCCAGAGCTGGGAACAGAACAGGCAGACTGACAAAATACACTGCTGAGGGGAGCAGCTGGCGGCAGGAGAGGTCTATGCGCCATGTGGGACCTTCACCCGCAGATGGGGATCGAAACAGCGCTGCAGAGGCTGCGGGCAGCTTCGCAACCCAGCGCTCAACCGCTGTACCACCAGGGAGGCCCAACAACATAATTTTTTACAAGCCTTTTTGATTCTCCTTTGGAGGGCTCTGTTCGTGACCTTCAAGCCAAGTTACTAAATCAGCTCCATAAAATTCAAGTTTTCCTACAATCCATTGATGATCTTCTTGCATTTGCCAAACTTGCTCACCCACATATATGGTGGACAGGTTTTTCTTTACAAAGTTATGTTCAAATATTTTTATGCCTCTTATTTTTTTTTTCTTGTCTGCCTAGGCTGACAGTGCTGCCTCTACATCCAACCATGTCAGTGCCCACAAGCCATGCTGATCTACCAGACCACTCTTCATTTTTCCCCCATGCTCCTCACCCATGTAATAGAAAGGGGGGGCATGTGGGCCCTATGAGCTGGCCACTCATAGGCAACTGTGACCTATTTGCTATCTGCAAATCACAATAGAACATTCCTTGACTACCTTCAGAGTATAGCCCGTATCACGAGGCAGGCCCAGGGATGCCTAAGCCACTGTTGATCTGATTACATGACTATCTCCATGGTGGTCTCGGGATAACTCTGCCTGTGATAACATCAAACTTTGATGATGCAAATATCTCTTGATGAATAGTCATGATGTCCACTTTCCTGACCCTCATAAAACTTTGTCCCCCATTCCTATCCCACCCTCTGGACCTTATTCCTCATACCATTGTTGCATTATCAGCTTTTACTTGCCTGTATGCTTTTAATAAGTGGCACAAGTACTTCTGCTCAAGTAGCAAAGTCTTGCCTTGCAAACTTGCTCCACAACTGTTGTGTCCCTCATCACCTTCCTGCTGCAAAGTGGCAACAAAGTTCCTGTCGCAACAAAAGGTTTTCAGAATGATACCAATTCTTGGTTAAATGGCAAAAGAAATGGAAAATATTCATCATGTTGTGGTTTTGTTTACAAAGCCTTTAATCATGGGTAGAAAATGGGGTAGACAACAGGATTCAAAAATGCCTGTTTCCAAGTAACCCTTCATAATCAGTGCTCTCAGAATCGCAGTGGGAAAAAGATGCATGCAAATTGCAAATTAGTCTAGTTTGATGTTTTTCAAAGATCATAAACATGACTTTGAAAAATTTTCTAGATGATGGTTAGTAATTATCCTGAGTTGAGGCTAATCTGGTTAAGATGAGCTGGCGAAGGAAAAGTCACAGTGTATTGGCTTTTGGAGGAGCAGTTTTGATGCTAAGATGTGGTATCCAAACACCCAAAGATTTGGTGTAATATAGTTGAGGTTGATTTTCATCTTCTGTGCAGCTGAAATGATCTCTAAGGTTTCTCCTGGCTAGAATAGTCTATGATGGAAAATAATCTTAATTTGCTCATATTTTGCTTGCAAATGATCATCTTCTAAATGATCCAAGAAGACATTGCCTCCACATATAAACATTTCCTCTGAGCACTAACGTTTAAAAGTCCATGCTATAGGGCCTCCCCTGGTGGCCTAGCAGTTGAGTGCTGGGCTGCGAGGCTGCCGGCAGCCTGTGCAGGGACAGTTGGTTCCCCAGCCACCGGCGAGGGTCCCACCAAAAAAAAAAAAAAAAAAAAGTCCATGCTATAGCTTTGAGATTGTTTTTCTTAAGCAACAGTGATGAAGATTAACCTTAATGAAGATTAAGTTGACTGATGTTTTTGTTTTAGTAAAATACTTCATTATTGTAGTTTGCTCAATTTTAAAATGTTTAGTATGTAGAGGTTTAGAAATTGCCCCTTATAGTTTTTTAAAATGTATTCTAAATAAAATTTAGGTAACTGTTTTGCCACTTAACATATAATAATCATTTTAATGACTATTTCACTGAGCATATGCAGCAACATTTAGCTCCTCCTTGAATATTTGGGTTTCTTCTGTGTCACATTCACAAATAATTCTATGACAAGCATCTTTATAACTACACTTTAAAAGTTTGGGAAAATTTCTCGTGATAGATTCCTAACAATAGTGCAAATTATTCAAAACATTCATAATGTATCACTTCACTTAAATAACAAATTATTCTCCAAAAGCTTCATTTATACCATGACTGTCAACATAAAAGAAGGTTGGCTTCACCGTACTGTGGTCAACATTGGGTACTATTTTTTAAATTGTTGACTGATGTCAGTGTAATAGTTGAAAATTTTACTGGTTTACCCTCTAGCCAGTTACTTTAAAAATAGTTCCATTATCTCATGAGTTGACTATGAACTTTTGACTATGAATATTGGTTTAGGTCTTAATCTTGCCACATTCTCTTTGTGTCTCGAACTTGGGATGGTTGGTAAGCTTCTCCAAGTCTCAAATTTATCATTTGGGAACATGGAAAAGTTTTGGGAATAATTTCCAGTATAGGAATAATTTTGAATTGTATCAGAATTGTTCTATCAAAAGCTCTTAAATGACATTTGCTTCTTTTACTAAGGTGGTGATGTTGACAATTCATTCCAGTGATTTAGAATTCTTTTTCAGGAAGTTGAGTTATTTTAAATCCTTAGAGCAAGCAGGAAAAAAAAACACTGATGGTCAAGAACCATCCTCATGGGGTCTAGCTGGCATAATTTATTTAAGGATTATGATGCAGTGAGATTCTATCCAACATTGACTCTAAATAAAACTTGGCTACTGTTTATAAAGATGTCATACATACCACATACTATTATTACCTTGGTTCTGCCACATATTAAATTTGCTGGGGACACCAAAGCACTAGAGTTGTGCTAGGTGCCACCAGGGGGCAGACAATGTTTGGGGAAAAATAGCAAGCCAGCTTGAGCTGTTAGTCTTAACCTAGCACACTTAATTTTCTGTGTATTTTACTGTATAAACAGGAACTGCTACTTCTGACTTTTGACTTTTCTTCTGACTGACTTTATTCTTGCAGTTCTCTTGTTCTTCTGTTTAAAAAGATCATTAGCAACATTTTCTTATATATGTGGTATAGCTTAGTGTAGTTGCAGTAAAATTTTTGTTGACTGTGATGAATTAGTAGCATATTGCTAACTTCTTCTGGGTATTATACACTAGATTTCCTTCTTAACCAGGATAATTTGGAGTTTGGATGTTACTTACACAAAAACTGAAACAAAACAAAAACTCCTGTATGGGATGGTGTTATGTCTATTTTTACTATGGATATTTAACTTTGTTTTTTATGATCTTAATCCGGATTGTTACCTTGCTTTTAAGAATTTTTGAAGAGGCAGGGAGGAGAGGTGGTTATGGCTTATTAATGTGCATAATCTAAAACGTGTTTTGAAATCACAGTGAAAAGGAAATACCTAAATATCATTTTTCTTAAATTTTTATTTCCTTGGTTATTTGTGTTTCAGTTGCCATGGGTACAATGTGTACTAACTCCATTGTCTGTGAATGAACTAGTTGTCTCTTTCCCAGAATTAACTCTTGACAGGTTATTGGATTTGTCTCTCTTATTGACAACTTCTGAAATGACAGATTGGAGACTGAGTCAAGAGGAAGAAGGAATTATTCAAAATTTCCTTTCCTGCCTATATCCTTCCCTCTTCTGCCCTATATAGTCTATTTCCAAAAAAGTTGCTGAGTCTTT